TACAATTATGTATATATAATATATATATATATATATATATATTTATTTATATACATATATATAAATATATACATAAATATATATATATATATATATTATATTACATTATATATATAATATATAATATATAAACATCTCTCTTTTATAGTAAAGAGACGAACAAACAAAGAAGCTAAAATAAACAAAGAAGAGAGCAGCAAATAAATAATAAATAAAATAAATAAACAAAACCAAATAAAAAAGATAAAATAAACAAAATAAATAAAATAAACGTCAAAAACAAACAAAACATAAAAACAAAGCAGATAAACAAACTACAAAAACAAACAAAGCCACCCTACTACTCCCGCGAAAGCAGCAGCAGCAGCAGCAGCAGCAGCAGCAGCAGCAGCTGCTGCTGCTGCTGCTGCAGCAAAACCACCACTACTGCAGCAGCAACAAGAGCTGCGAAAGCAACAACAGCTGCAGCAGGAGGGACACCGCCGCAGCAGCAGCACTGCAACAGCAGCAGCACCACTACAACAGCAGCAGCACTACTGCAACAGCAGCAGCAACACTGAAAGAGCCGCAGCAGCAGCAGCAACACCGCCGCAGCAGCAACACCGCCGCAGCAGCAACACCGCCGCAGCAGCACCACTGCAAAAGCAGCAGCAGCAGCAGCACCGCTGCGACCACCGCAGCAGCAGCAGCAGCAGCACCGCTGCTACCACCGCTATAACCGCAGCAGCAGCAGCACCGCTGCTACGACCGCTATAACCGCAGCAGCAGCAGGAGGAGGAGCAGCAGGAGCAGATGATGAGTGTTGCGAGTAGTATATTTAAGTAGACAGGAAGAGATGAAGCTGTCTGCAATCCTTTCTGAGATCGTACTTACAAATAGGACAGAAGTAGCTACGAAGCAACCAGCAGTCTATACACTCTAAATGATATGAATGTGTGCACGGCAGCCTTTTCTGTGTCTCGCCTTCTTTATACACTTCGTAGCAAATGCAGCACCTTCTGTGCTCGTCCTCTAGCTTTGTTCCTATTGAAGCGTTGTAATAGTTTATAGGTAGCACTTGTATAAATAGATCGAGCAAACGCCGCACTTCACTCTCATCCTCTACATCCTGCTGCTGCTGCTGCTGCTCCTGCTGCTGCTGCTCCTGCTGCTCCTGCTGATCTTGGTGATGGGCGTGGTTGTTGTGGTTATGCTGCTGCTGCTGCTGATCCTGCTGCTGCTGCTGCTGTCGCTGCTGCCTATACACCGCAACACCATGCGGGTTGTATGCATGTAAAGCAGCATGAGAATATCTATAGGAATGCTGCAGCTGCTGCTGCTGCTGCTGCTGCAGCACACGGCCCCCATACCCTTGGTAATAAGCCTGCTGCTGCTGCTGCTGCTGCTGCTGCTGCTCTGATGCTGGGAGCTGCTGCACTGACCTTGTACGAGGCAGGGCTCTCCAAGGGTTGCGCTCTGCCTCTGCTGCTGCTCTCCTGCTGCTGCTGCTGCTGCTGCTGCTTGCTACTGCTGCAGCAGCAATCCTAGAGGGTATTAAACCCTCGCGAGACAGCACATCCCCCCAAGTAGGAAGCACCATACCTTCTCGAATAAAGTTGCTGCTGCTGCTGCTTCGGGTGTATTGCCACCTACGGCTTCTGTCTTCCTCGTCCGAAGCTGCTGCTGCTGCTGCTTCTGCTGCTGCTTCTGCTGCTGCTACTGCTGCTGCTGCTGCTGTTCTTCCACCTGGCAGCCTAACTGGTGCTCCTATGCTCTCGGAGTGTACATGCAGCTGATCGCTGCGGGTCCTTTGAAGGCCGCAGCTGTGGGGTGGCATGCGTCCTGCTGCTGCTGCTGCTGCTGCTGCTGCTGCAGCATTTCTAGACGAAGCAGCAGCAAATATATTTTCATTAGAGTCTCTACTCCATACATAAGGAGCAACCCCCTCTAAGCACTCTCTCATCTGGTGGCTATCTTGTCTGATGCTGATATACCGCCGGTGTCGCTGCTGCTGCTGCTGCTGCTGCTGCTGTTGCTGCTGCCGCTGCAGCAGCAACAGTTGCTGCTGCTGCAGATGCTGCAGCTGCTGCCTCTGCAGCAAATGATGATGAGAGGGAACGTCTGTGTGGCTGCTGCTGCGCGCTGGTGCGTATCCGCCTGCCGAGAACCTCGTTACTAACCTGCTGCTGCTGCTGCTGCTGCTGCTGCTGCTGCTGGAGGGAGAGTATGAGGAGACGCGATGTGCTGCTGTCGCTGCAGCAAAGCGTGAGTGCTGCTGCTGCTGCTGCTGCTGCTGCTGTTCTTCGCCTTCTTCAAGGTATAGGAGCTGCTGCTGGCTGGGGAGACCGCTGCTGGTTGCGCGCCGCTGCAGCGGGGGTCGTGCAGCAGCAGCAGCAGCAGCTGCTGCTGCTGCTGCAGCAAAGGAAGAAGCAATAGGGCTTGGAGACCCCGTAGCTGCTCTGCTGAAACCTCCATATATACGCCGCGGTGCTGCCTGCTGCGCTTCTGTTGCTGCTGCTGCTGTTGCTGCTGCTGTTCTTGCTTCTGTAGCTGTTGCTGATCTTGCTGTTGCTGCTGCTCCTGTTGTTGTTGCTGCTGTTGCTGCTGGACGCAAGGGAGGGGATATCGGTAGTATTTCAGAGCGCGTTCGTTGCAGCGGTCCTGGTCGCCTGCTGCTGCTGCTGCTGCTGCTGCTGCTGCAGCTGCTGCGCGCAGCCACATGCTGCAGCGCTTGCTGCTGCAGAGCATCTATTGCATGCGAGAAGAGATGATCGTTTAATTCATGAGCAGCAAACACTACCCGACATTCCGGGCAGCGGACCTGCTGCTTCTGCTGCTGCTGCTGCTGCTCTTGCTGCTGCTGCTGCTCTTGCTGCTGCTGCTGCTGCTGCTGCTGCTGTTGGCTGCTTCTTCGAGGGGTTGACCAGGGGATATTTTGAAGAGGGACGGGGCCTGCTGATCCTTCTTGCGGCACTTGATCGACATCAGATTCATCATCTGCTGCTGCTGCTGCTGCTGTTGCTGCTGCTGCTGTTGCTGCTGCTGCTGTTGCTGCTGCTGCTGGTGCTGTTGGCGCTGCTGTTGCGGGTACGGGTTCTTCTTCTTTTTCTTTTTCTTCATCGTCTTCATCTTCTGCTGCTGCTGCTGCTGTTGCTGTTGGTGTCGATGCTGCTGTTGTGGGCGTGGGGGGTTCTTCTGCTGTTGTTGCTGCAGCAGCAGCAGCAGCAGCTGCTGCTGCTGCTGCTGCCCTGGCTAGTGCTGCCTCCCCTGCCATACGAGAAGGAGACGAAGGGGTGCGGCGGCCTGAAGGAGAAGCAGAAAGGCTGCTGCTGCTGCTGCTGCTTCGACTGCTGCTGCTGCTGCTGCAGTGGGTGCTGCTGTTGCTGCTGTCGGTGCTGCTGCTGCTGCTGCTGCAGCCGTCAGTGGTGCTGCTCTCGCACATTCTGGAGCAAGGATGTTCTTCCAGCTGCTGCTGCTGCAGTTTCTCTGCTGTTGTTGCTTCTGCTGCTGTTGCTGCATCTGCTGCTGCGCTGCTGCTGCTGCTGGGGGCATTGCTCAGTATTGTGTCATTGTTAGCTGCTGCTGCTGCTGCAGCAGGAGCAGCAGCAGATTCTGCTGCTGCAGAAGGGGTAGGTTCGCCAGGAGGGTCCCCCCTTGAGCCCTCCGCTACCTGCTGCATCTCGTGGCTGGGGTGGCTAGGGTTTAGGGTTTAGGGTTTAGGGTCTAGGGTTTAGGGTTTAGAGACTGAAATTTACTGCACAAACGGATTTCAAAGAAACAAAAAAAGATTTTACATACGAGGGTTTAGGGTTTAGGGTTTAGGGTTTAGGGTTTCTGCCTCCAGGGGGGGCCAGCCCCACTTGCTGGTAGAGAACAGCTAGGCTCGCGTAAACCCTAAACCCTAAACCCTAAACCCTAAACCCTAAACCCTAATTGCAAATCCTAAACCCTAAAACTGCATGCATTTTGTACTTAAACTCTCTTTGTTTATGTAACAAAGAACACCCCCGTTTCCCTGTCTAAACCCTAAACCCTAAACCCTAAACCCTAAACCCTAGACGCTAGACCCTCAGTCCCCCCCCTGGGGACAGCCCCCCCCTTGCCCCGAGGCTCGAAACCCTAAACCCTTAAACCCTAAACCCTAAACCCTAAACCCTAAACCCTAAACCCTAAAGTCTAATCAACACATTTTTTATTGATGTGTAGTAATTTAAATGCTCTCAATTTACTGCGAACCCCTGTCTACACCTCCTTGCTACACAAACCCTAAACCCTAAACCCTAAACACTAAACCCCAAACCCTAAACCCCTGTCTAAAGTTAAGGGTTTAGGGTTTAGAGGCTACCCCCCGTGTTATGATGCAGCGGCAGAGATCAACTGCGCTGCTTGGCGGATGGCTCAATCCTAAACCCTAAACCCTAAACCTATGAAACTGCAAAAGGCGAAAAGGCAGAGCTCCGGGCATAAAGTTAAGGCGTGCGATTAGGGTTTAGGGTTTGGGGATACGATCTACTATTAGGGTTTAGGGTTTTGGAGTTACTATCAGGGTTTAGGGTTTAGCAATTACTATTAGGGTTTAGGGTTTAGGTTCTACTATTAGGGCTTAGCAATTACTATTAGGGTTTAGGGTTTAATATATATATATATATATATATATATATATATA